TCTTTTAAGCCTTACGGGAGGGGCCAATCATCTCCTGGCCTTACTCCCGAGTCGTCCCTTTTGCTTTAGCTGCTCTTGCCTTCTGGCAGCTCTGCGCATGCGTGCACTAGGAACAGGCTCCTCCTGTTCCTCTGCCTCTCTGATGTCCAACTCCGAGGCTCCGGAATCCACGCATCGCTCCCAGATGGCCCTGGCCTCATCTCTGTCTCTGATGCAGAGCCCTCGTCCGAGCCCTCCCCAGACTCCAGGACTGGCCCATGTTCCTCCCCAGCCTCCTCACTGTCCGACTCTGCTGCCAGCTCCGCAGGCTGCTTGTGGACCACAACATTATGACTGTCCTGGATGAATCCTTCCAGTTTGGTTTTGCTGGTTTTGCAGATAGTCCAGCATTCATGGGGGAAGAGGCGGGTGGAATACTGAAATGGGTCACACAATTCACCATGTTTGGTTTGGGAAATCCGATGCCAAGAGACATTTTTGATCGTGGTTTACACAGTTCTGCATCTGGGAGAGAAGCAGGAGAAATGCCAGCTTTCCTTCTCCTAATATTCAAGGCACCGGTGGGCAGCATTAAGAGAGTAGGGGGATGTGGGGTGTAGTCTGTCACAAATAGGGCAGCAAATAGGGGCCACCCCCCCCATGTCCCTCCCTCCTCAGGGCGTTAAATGATTGGTTTAGATGGCTTTGAAAACAAATGTAGGCCAATTCATTGATAGGAGAAGTTGTGAGCGGTGCGGTGGCCTAGAGGCAGAGCTCTCGCCTCACAATCGGGAGCCTGCGAGTTCGATCCTAGGTAGAGGCAGATATTTCTCTCTATGGGCACAATGAGAATATATCTGCCGAACGAAACTCCGCACTGGCGACAGGAAGGGCATCCGGCCAGTAAATACTCAGCTCCATTCAGTTGACCAGCCTCCCAGCAAGGGATTATGAGGTTGTTAAAAGAAGATGATCGATAGGTATCGTTGTGGGCGCTATTCGGAGACAGTCTACCTCTTTATAATCCAGGTGGGGCCTCAGTTTACGACCGCAGCCGAGCCCAGAAGTTTATGTCGCTGAGTGAGAGAAATTTTCTTAAGGGAGCTTTGCTCCATTAGAATAGAATAACAGAGTTGGAAGGGACCTTGGAGGTCTTCTAGTCCAACCCCCTGCATTTTGTACCGTCTGGGTTTACGATTTGTCTCTTGCAGCTGGACCAGACCAGAGACTTTGAGGAACGACGGCTGATCCGGGCAGCCATGCGGGATCTGCGCCAGCGGAAGCGAGGTAATTTCGACCGGTCACTAAATAAATTGTTGTAAGACGAGGACTCTCTCTACTGGCTTTTATATCGATAAATGCAGGCCGTTCTTGCTCAACGACTGGTCAAAGATTTATGACGGACATCCCCATGACCCATTTCGGGACTTCTCATGGGCCTTTCCTTTCCCCCTGCCCCTTTTTTTTGCAGACCAGCGAGAGAAGGAGCGGAACCAGCGGCTGCAAGAGGCCAAGGCGAAGGGGGGCTCTCACACCACAGAGACCACCTCCCAGCAAAGCAGGACCTCCGCGGACGGCTCGGCAGTCAGCACAGTCACCAAGACTCAGCGCCTCATGCAGTCCAGTAAGAGGAAGGGGAGGAGGCGGGGCAGGAATAACTTACTTACTTCTTTCTTTCTTCTTTCTTTCTTTCTTTCTTTCTTTCTTTCTTTCTTTCTTTCTTTTTCTTTCTTTCTTTTCTTCTTTCTTTTCTTTCTTTCTTTCTTTCTTTCTTTCTTTCTTGGTTCAATTTATATGCCACCCTTCTCCGGAAGGGATCTTGGAGGTCATCTAGTCCAACCTGCCCTGCCCTGTCCCGCCCGAGCAGGAGACTGCTAGAAGAGAATGGGGTTTGCGGAGAGGAGGAGGAGGAAAGGGAAAGTGGAGGAGGAGAAGCAGAAGGAGAAGGAAGGAGGAAGAGAAGGGGGATTCTTGGGTGCTTGGGGCTCTCTGAGCTAGCTTGTTTTCTTGCAGAACATTTCATGACCCTACTAGGTAACATCATCAGGGCTAGAAGGGAGAAGGGTTTGTAGAGAGGAGGAGGAGAAGGAAAGGAGATGGAGGAGAAGAAGAGGAGAAGGAGGAGGAAGATCATCACTGTGGAGTCCTTGGTGCTCTCTGAGCTTGCTTGTTTTCTTGAAGACGTTTCATGACCCATCTGGGTAACATCCTCCGTGCTAGTCTGATGGGTCTTTCATCCGAAAAATCCAGGCCATTCCTTCCTCCTGAATCTCCGTCCTAGTGTTGGGGCCAAAGTGCCAGCAGCCTTTGGGGTTTTGAGTTTAGAAATAAGGGCTGCCCGATTATGCAGGCAAAGATTTCTCATAACGTGAGAATCTGGAGACGATCTCACGAACCTCCAGGCAGGAATTGCAGAAAAACCCTTCCCTCGTTGCACAATTTCTGCCTGCTTCAGATATCATCATCATCGTCATCGTCCTAGTGGACACGACCAAGTTGCTAAATTAATCCACTGGTCATTATATAAAAAATACGACTTACCTGTATCCGAAAAGTCATGGGGACATAAAGTGGAAAAAAGTTATAGAAAATGAGAAGGTGAAGATCTTGTGGGACTTTTGAATACAGACGGATCGTCGCTTGGAACACAACACGCCAGATATCACAGTTGTCGAAAGCCGAAACGTACAATTTATTGACACCGCGGTACCAGGAGATGCCAGAGTCAAAGAAAAAGAACTGGGAAAAAATCACAAAATATCGCGACCTGGCCATCGAAACTACACGGCTACGGATGAAACATGTAACAGTGATACCCATAATTGTCAGCGGGGCACTTGGTACCATGTCCAAGAATTTTACAAAACACGTCAAGAAATTGCAGCTTCCTGCAATAACACCAGCGGAACTGCAAAAAAACTGGCTACTCGGAATATCTACTCGGAAGAAGAAGAAGAAGAAGAAGAAGAAGAAGAAGAAGAAGAAGAAGAAGAAGAAGAAGAAGAAGAAGAAGAAGAAAAGAAGAAAAGAAGAAGAAGAAGAAGAAGAGGAGGAGGAGGAGGAGGAAGGAGGAGGAGGAGAGGAGGGGAGGAGGAGGAGGAGAAGGAGAAGGAGAAGGAGAAGGAGAAGGAGAAGGAGAAGAAGAAGAAGAAGAAGAAGAAAAGAAGAAGAAGAAGAAGAAGAAGAAGAAGAAGAAGAAGAAGAAGAAGAAGAAGAAGAAGCTACTTAGTTGATACTTAGGACACTGGCAGCAACCCGTATCAACCATCAGTGCCAGTCAATATTATTTGTGATACACTTTTAAATGTTCAATTGACTTGAGTTTCACATTTAATGAATAAAAGTTTATAATAATAATAATAATAAAAAACAATAACCACCACCCTGGCCAGCATAACTAGTCCTGTCTCCTCTCCCTCTCCCATTTTTCTGCTCCAGATGATGGCAACAAAGCGTCCCACACAATCACAATGGAAGCAAGCTACACAAAGAGATCAGAAAGTAAGTTTTCTCGTTCTCTATTTTTTTCTTTTTCTTTCAAGAGAGGCTCTGTATGTGTGTGTGTTTGTGTGTGGGCACGTGCACACAGGTTTGTGTGTGTGATGTGTTTGTATCGAACCAAACCCAATTAAATAAACCTGGTTAATCTAGGCTGCAGGCGTGTCAAGGTGAATGGGACAAATGGCAGAAATTGTGGAATAGAAATATTAAATGTCGACTGCCTATAAGGAAAATTTGTATAAAATGTTTTATAGATGACATTTTGCACCAGGAAGATTGGCAAAAATGTATAAAGACAGATCTGCTAAATGTTGGGAGTGTAATCAGTCATCCGGTTCATACCATCATATGTGGTGGACATGCCCCAAAAGCAAGAAAATACTGGATGAAAATACACACGTGGCTTGGAAAAAAATGATAAAATGACGTTTAGTTCTGAAACCAGAGATATTTTTGTTGGGCATTCTACAGAAAAAATATGATAAATTGAGGATAAAGAAGCAACTGAATATTTTTTGATATGGGGCGTATTCTATCAATGGCAAGATAACAGAAACAGAAGTTAGGAAGGAGGAGATATGAAAAGAGGAAATGGTAATGTGGAGAGTTGTTAGAGAAGATGATGTTAAGTGTTAAGTATTAATATTAAAATCTGTTATTATATAATCAATATGATGGTGATGAACACCGCAACAAAGATGTGTAATATGACTATTTAAACATAACTGTAGCCAGAACCCACACTATTTGATGAAAATTGAATGTTATATAAATCAAACAAATAAAACATGGGGGGGGAAATGTTTCTAGTGGACTGGAGGTCATTTCCTTCTCTCTCTCTCTCTTCTCCTGTTTTTCTAGAAGATGGCAACACTTTTGTCCAGACCAAATCCTACAGCTCGTCGTCTTCCAAGAAAGTGGGCAGGTAAGACCCTCCCCCCCTACTCAAATCTTCTGAGTCTTGCACGTCTGCCCTTCTGGGGAGAAGCCAAACCCCCAGCCAGACTCACCCAGGAGTCTAATCTTGGCTTAGGAAATGCTCAGAAAGTGCACGAAGAAAAGGAGGCTCTGTGTGTGTGTGTGTGTGTGTCTGTGTGGTGTACGCACAGCTGATTCAGGATGTTCACTCTGGTCTCTAGCTGAGATTTGGCAGTGGCTCCTATGTACCTGGAAGCGTGAGCTCCTCAGAAAAGGCAGGCCCAGACACACCACCTCTGTGCGATAGATAGATATAGATTATAGAGAGATAGAGAGATAAAGAGGGAGAGATTATAGATTATAGAGAGAGATTAGAGATAGATAGATTAGAGAGATAGATTATAGATTAAAGATACAGATTAGAGAGAGAGATTATAGATATAGATTATCTAGAGATAGATAGATAGATAGATAGATAGATAGATAGATAGATAGATAGATAGATAATAAATTAGAGAGAGACGGAGGAAGAGATTATAGATATAGATTATCTAGAGATAGATAGATAGATAGATAGATAGATAGATAGATAGATAGATAGATATAAATTAGAGGAGGGAGGAAGAGAGTATAGATATAGATTATCTAGAGAGAGAGAGAGATAAATTAGACGGAGGAAGAGATTATAGATATAGATTATCTAGAGATAGATAGATAGATAGATAGATAGATAGATAGATAGATAGATAGATAGATATAAATTAGAGAGACGGAGGAAGAGATTATAGATATAGATTATCTAGAGATAGATAGATAGATAGATAGATAGATAGATAGATAGATAGATAGATAGATAGATAGATATAAATTAGAGAGAGGGAGGAAGAGATTATAGATATAGATTATATATTATATATATATATATATAGAGAGAGAGAGAGAGAGAGAGAGAGAGAGAGAGAGAGAGATAATAGAAATAGATTATATATAGAGAGGGAAAGATAGATTATAGAAGGGGATAGAGAGATAAATATATACATATATATATATATACGCATACATACATACATACACATACACAGTTTTGAGAACGGGCAATACAATTTGATTTTTAACGTGTGCCAGTGTGCTCACAGTTAAAAAAAAAAAAAGACAATAAAAGTTATCTTATGAGTGAAAAAAAATCACGGATGATCCGTAAGGGTTTCTCTCTGGCGCTGGCCAAGAAGGGGGACCCAAGGAGGGGAAGAAAAATTTGTAGCTCCCACCCCCACCCCATCCAAAGGGACTCAAAACAGTCGAAGGACCAAAAACAAAAAAAAAAACACCTGAACCCAGAGGACCGGTAACTTATCTCGCTTGGTAAAACCGAGCAAGGCCTGTGGTTGAGTGGAGCTGTCCTTTTGCATATGTCTTTTTTCGGTGTTATTTATATCCTGCTTTTAAATAAGACTCTCTTAAGCAGCTGACGCCAACCCTGAAAACAGGCGGAGAATTAAAACCAGGCTAAAAATAACTCGAATCCAAACAAAACACAAAAGGCAAGAAAGGGGGCATTCTTAGCCGTTATCCACCCTCCACGCTCTCTGCAAGTTGGCACAGCCAAGCGTTGGCAAGCAGCCCTCTGCGCCCCTCGCCCAAAGGACCGAGCCTTTCGGTGTCCTCCAGATCTTGAATCCTCCGAATTCTGCTTCCAAGATGCTTTTCTCTCTTCTTTTTTTTCTTCTCTTGTCTCCCCTCCTCCACCCCCCACATTTGTCATCCGAAAGGGACAGACGTCCTGTTGAATGCAGGATGCAGGTGGCACCCTCTCCACTTTTCTCTCCAGGGTGAAATAAACATGATGGGCCTTTTGGAGCTCAAAGGGTCCCCGAAGCCATCGAAAGAGCTGGGGTGTTTTTTTTGCTCACAATGGGCTGTTTTTTTCCCCGACCTGATTGGCCTTCCAAACCTCGCATAGATCCCTTGGGGGGCGGGGGGGAGGGGATAGAGGCAGGAATGGGATTGAAAAATTTTAGCAAGAGATTCTCTGCCTGGTTGCTGGGGTGGGGGCGGGCGTGGCCTGCACGGTGTCCTGCACCACGGCGGGGGAAGCGTTTTGCCCCTCCCCGGGCTCCAGAGGCTTTCCTTGAGCCTCCAGAGGGCGAAAACAGCTTCCCCCAGGCACCGGAGGCCCTCCAGTGGTCGGAAGCAGGCCTGTTTCTGGACTTCCGGTACTTCTAGTAGACCCATTTTTCTCCCTCCGTGTGGGCCCTGCACTTACCTCGCATCCAAAACGGGCCGCGTGGAGACTCCTGGGAGGAGCGGAATGGGGTGGGCGGAGTCAGCCAGTCCTTGTAACTACCGGTTCGGCGAACCAGATTAAAATTAACATCCGATTCACCCGAACCGGTCCGAACCAGCTGAATCCCACCCCTGGATGGAGGGAAGAGACAATGGATGCTATTTAATTGAATTAAAAAATAACCCGCCAAGTACTTGAAGCTGATTCGTTTGTCTTCTTGGAGAGGAGGGATGGAGGAATACCTGTTTTGCTCTGGCGTTTTGTCATTTTTCCTCCTCTTTCTTCCGCCCTTGGACAGCATCTTCGAACGAGAGGATCCGAGCCCCAGGTCCGGGAGCAGTCTAACTGACTTGGAGCGGCGCCAAGCCGAGAGGAAGAAGGAGATCATGAAGGCCCAGGCCATGCCCAAGATGTCTGCCTCGCAGGCACGCAAGGCCATGATCGAGAAGCTGGAGAAGGAGGGCGGGAGGTGAGGAGCTGGGCTTGAGGGGGAAGAAATGGGATGTGCTGAGATCCTCTGGCTGGGGGAATGTCTGTGACAATTTGCCATGGCCAATTCAACATGGCCAACTCACCATGACCAACTCTCCATGGCCAACTCTCCATGGCCAACTCCCATAGCCAACTCTCCACGGTCAATTCACCATGACCAATTCACCACAGCCAACTTCCAACGGCCAACTCACCATGGCCAACTCCTCATGGCCAACTTCCCATGGCCAACTCCTCATGGCCAACTTCCCATGGCCAACTCTCCATGGCCAACTTCCCATGGCCAACTCTCCATGGCCAAGTTCCAATGGCCAACTTCCCATGGCCAACTCTCCATGGCCAACTCTCCCATGACCAACTCTCCATGACCAATTCACCACAGCCAACTTCCCATGGCCAACTCTCCATGGCCAACTTCCCATGGCCAACTTCCCATGGCCAACTTCCCATGGCCAACTCAACATGGTCAACTTCCCATGGTCAACTCTCCACGGTCAACTCACCATGACCAATTCACCACAGCCAACTTCCGACAGCCAACTCACCATGGCCAACTCCTCATGGCCAACTTCCCATGGCCAACTCGCCGTGGGACGACTTGCTCCCAATTTACACTAATATCAAAGAAATGGTGGAATAAAGAATGCAAAAGGAGAGACAAAACGTGAATGACAATCAATCAATCAATCAATCAATCAGAACAGAACTGGAAGGGATCTTGGAAGTCATCTACTTTTTAAAGCAATCCTGCTTCCATTTTAATCCATCGGACCTCTTCCCCCCCCCCCCCCTTTACACACACACACCCCAACCCCACTGAAGGAGCCCCACTGAGGTTAGCTCATTTTGCTACCTGGGTTAGCTAGTAATTTGTAATGGTTGGGTTGGGTAAGATGTTGAAGATTTTTAAGGCTGGAGATCGGAATGTTCTCTCTCTCTTGCCCCCCCCCCCCAAAAAGGATTTCTGCTCCCCATTCCCAGCCTAAACCTTCCCGGAAGGAAACAGACAAGAGGCTGTCTTGGCTCCTTCAGCTGACATCTTGGCGGCTTCCTGGAGGGACCTTCTTCCTGCAAGGGCCTTTCCGTGGCTGAGTTCCCAGCGCGAGATGGTCCCCGAGGGAGGCCGCCTCCTGCCAAGCCTTTGGCTCTTTTAATCCAGCTGGTGCCTCGTTTTGGTTCTAAATATAGCAACTTGCTCTTGCTCCTGACTTTCTCCTTTCCTTTCCCTTTCCCTTTCCCTTCTTTTTTCTTTTTTCTTTCCTTTCCTTCTTTTTCCTTTCCTTCCCTTTCTTTCCCTCCTCCCTCCCTGCTTCCTTCCTTCTTCCCTCCTTTCTTCCCTCCATCCCTCTCTCTCTCCCTTCTTTCCTCCCTCCCTCTCTTTCCTTCTTTCCTTCCTCCCTCCCCCTCCCTTTCCTTCCTTCCTTCCCCCCTCCCTCTCTATCTCTCCTTCCTCCCTCCCTTCCTTCCTTCCTTCCCTCCCTCTCTATCTCTCCTTCCTTCCTCCATTCCTTCCTTTCCTTCCTTCCTTCCCTCCCTCCCTCTCTCTCTGTCTCCTTCCTTCCTTCCTTCCTCCCTCCTTTTCCTTCCTTCCTTCCTCCCTCTCTATCTCTCCTTCCTTCCTTCCTTCCTCCCTCCCTCCCTTTCCTTCCTTCCTTCCCTCCCTCCCTCTCTATCTCTCCTTCCTTCCTCCTCCCTTCCTTCCTTCCTTCCTTCCCTCCCTCTCTATCTCTCCTTCCTTCCTCCCTCCCTTCCTTTCCTTCCTTCCTTCCTTCCTTCCTTCCTTCCTTCCTTCCTTCCTTTCCTCCCTCCCTCCAAAGTGACACTTTGGGGCCACCAACACTCAGGTTGACGTCCAGGTAAAAGTTCAGAGGGTGCTTGTTTTGGGAGGCGCCTGTGCCGGCCAGCCTGCCTGCCCCCAAAGCAGCTACAAGACGCCTGCTTTGTCTTCTCCACCACAGCCCCGCCAACCCTGCGATGGCCCGGGTGGGAGTCCAGCGCTCTTCCAGCTTCGGGGTCCCCAATGCCAACACCATCAAGCAGATGCTTCTGGACTGGTGCCGCGCCAAGACGCGGGGTTACGAGGTGAGCCCCCTGCCCGTCTCCCGCGGCCTCCCTGGGCCCAGCCTCTTTTTCTTGGGACATGGTGGCTCAGTGGCTAAGACGCTGAGCTTGTCGATCGAAAGGTTGGCAGTTCAGCGGTTCGAATCCCTGGTGCCGCGTAATGGGCTGAGCTCCCGTTCCTTGTCTCAGCTTCGCCAACCTAGCAGTTCGAAAGCAGGTAAAAATGCAAATAGAAAAATAGGGACCCCCTTTGGTGGGAAGGGAACAGCGTTCCGTGCGCCTTTGGCGTTGAGTCCTGCCGGCCACATGACCACACAGACGTCTTCGGACAGCGCTGGCTCTTCGGCTTTGAAACGGAGATGAGCATCGCCCCCTAGAGTCAGGAACGCCTAGCACATACATGCGAGGGGAACCTTTACCTTTACCTTACCTCATTTCTCTCCCCCCTTGAGCAGCACGTGGACATCCAGAACTTCTCCTCCAGCTGGAGCGACGGCATGGCCTTCTGCGCTCTCGTCCACAACTTCTTCCCTGAGGCTTTTGATTACACGCAACTCTCACCCCAGGACCGGAGGCACAACTTTGAGATGGCCTTCTCCGCAGCTGAGTAGGTATCCCTCTGCGGGGCAGGGTCTGTTCCGGCCAGCTTGGCAGGCTGGCTGGCTCCCGGAAGAGCTCCTGACCTCCCCCTATCTAGCCCACCCGATAGCAATAGCACTTAAGGCTTATATACCGCTTCGCAGTGCTTTCTAGCCGTCTCTCTAATTCAGGGGTCAGCAACCCGCAGCTCTGGAGCCGCATGTGGCTCTTACATCTCTCTCCTGCGGCTCCCTGTTGCTGGTTGGTGCCACTATTTTGAGAGGAGCTTCCGATTGTTGGGGGGGAAGCATGGCATGCCAGAAGGAGATTCTATGGCAAGGGGCGATTTTTTCCGGTCGGCTCCACAATTGATAGGGCTTTTGGTTAGGACAGGTAGAGGAAAAAGGACACCGCACTAGGAGGAGACTCTATGGTGGGGGAACCAGACTTCCAATCAGTTCCAGAATTGAACGGGGGGCTTCCGGTTAGGACCTTTGTGGCTCTTTGAGGGTTTAAGGTTGCTGACCCCTGCTCATATGGTTTACAGTCAGCCTATCCAACAATCTGGGTCCTCATTTTACGGAAGGAGTCAACCTTGAGCCTGGTCAGGATCGAACTGCTGGCAGTCGGCAGAATTAGCCTGCAATGCTGCATTCTAACCACAGGGAGGGAGGGAGGGAAGGAAGGAAGGAATGAGGAAGGGAAGGGAAGGGAAGGGAAGGAAGAAGGAAGGAAGGAAGGAAGGAAGGAAGGAAGGAAGGAAGGAAGGAAGGAAGGAAGGAAGGAAGAAGGAAGGAAGGATAAATGGGAAGGAGGGGGGAAGGAATAAAGGGCAATAGTACCTAGACTTAACAGACCGCTTCACAGTGCTTTCCAGCTCCTCTCTAAGCAGTTTACAGAGTCAGCCTCTTGCCCCCAACAATCTGGGTCCTCGTTTTACCCACCTCAGAAGGATGGAAGGCTGAGTGGTAGAAGGTCCCCCAGGTAATTCCCCTTCCCTGTTTCACAAAATAAGATGGTGAACCTCAACAGGCTGGCGCTCGACTGGGCAGCATGAAAAAAAGAAAAAAAAAGAGTGGGGAGAAGATGACAGGTGTCTTCTTGAGGATAGAAATTCGAGGCCGCTTGGTCAAAGGGACTCTGCCGCCGTGGCCATTTTGTGGGAGCGCTCACAACTCGCTCGCCAAGGGCCCCAGAGCTGCCCGCTAGGCGAAAGAACGGGGAGGGGGATCCAGTTAGGAAAGACGCAGAGGAATATGATCCGGCGGGAGAACACATTTTGGCCAACGAAAAGAGAGCTGTCGCCCCGCAAGTTTTTGGAAGCAGAATGTCAAAATCGGCGTCTATAGTTTTCTGAACTCCCCAAATTCAGCCATTCTGGACGTCGGAAAAGCAGCAACATGCCTTGATGGGTGAAGATGGCACGATGCCGGGCATTTTTCCTGTTTTTCTCTGATCTGGAATTCCTCAAATTTCTTCCTTGTGTGGTTTTTTTCGTCGGTGAAATGGCTCCTGCGGACGTTCCTGAAGGACGACACGTCAGGGTTGGTTGGGATGCATTCAAATGGGGGGTGGGGGGTTGTGCATTTCTGCCTGGAGCTGAGCATGTGGAGGAGGGGAGGAAGGCGGGCATCATTGGCCAAGGGCGATAAGCAGCTGCGATCCCTGTTTAAGGTTGGCATCACCGGCTGGGCTCCCGTTGCAGCTTGGAGTAGGATGCGATGGAGGGAACGGGGTGGGGGGGACTTAGAGCCTGTTTGAGTTATGGAGCGGCTGGCACGGCAGTGGCTTTCTTCGGCTTTTGCCTTTCCAGCGAGGATTTTACTCCGGCAGCGAAAGGAAGTGCGTGAGAAAACTTTCTGCCTTTTCCTTTTTTGCTGTTTTCTGCCTGTCCCTTCTGGTGCTTCCTCCCTCCAAGGCCTTTCTCATCCTTCCCCTGAGCAACGGCGAGTCCTCATCTCTTGCTCATCCCCCTGCTCCCAGGGTCTGGTGGCCCTGTGGAAAGTGGCACTTGCAGAACCAATCTGAGACGTGTGTGTGTGTGTGTGTGTGTGTGTGTCCTGACTAGCCTCTCTCCAGCTCTCCCCCTCTGCTGCCTGTGGCTTCTGACCCATTGGGTTTGGGGAAATCGGGTAAGTGGAACCGGCTGTTCTGCCTCCAGACTGCAGCGTGGGTCGTTGTCCGCTCTACTCTTTTTTCCGCCGAGAGTCTGAGGCGTGGACCACGAGACCGAGCAAGCCCTTCTCCCACGGCCCAAACTCAGGGGCCTCCTGTGCAGCTTCTGCCTTGCCCTCCTCCCCCCCCACCCCTAATTCTTTCTCATTTTTCTTGGCTTGGCGCACTCCGGCCGTGCAGAGGCCCATTTCCAAGGATGGGGCACACGCAGAGCGAGTCGCTCATCCCTTCTCTATATGTTGCCGTATAGAGCAGGGTTCCCCAACCTTCCCAGTTGGTGAGGGTGGTGGGGAAGGGGGAAAAGTGGGGGGTGGTTTTGTGGGAGGGGCAGGGGCGTGTGTGGGCAACGGTACTCGCACAAGTGGGACACCGAGCTCCCCCGCGACGCTCGCGCGAGTGAGTCCTCAACCGCTTGCGACTTAACGTGGCCCGGCTGCGAATAGGCCACGGAGCGATCGTGGGCCGTGGCCCAGAGGTTGGGGACCCCTGATACGGAGGGCACAAAGAGCACCCCGCTCGGTTTCCTGTCCTGTCCACCTCTCTGTCTTTTTGTCTGGCTGTCCCGTCTAAATATTCGTCGCATCCTTCGCTCCCCTCTCTTCTGCATCTCGCTCAGGAATGAGTCCACCCACCCCGTATCCATTGGCACCCCCAACATCCCCCTCCTCTCTGTTTGCATCGCATGGTGGAGAGTCCGTGCCTGCTCACCCCATTGCATGCACGTGTGGGTCTCGTCACCGAGAATGTGGACCGAATTTATGTATCTTGTGTTTTTTTTTCTCTCTCTCTCTCTCTTTCTTTCTTTGTCCGATTTCTTTCTCTCTTCTCTCTCCCCCCGCCCCCAAATTTGTCCGGGCTGTGATCACTGGCTTCCTCTCCCCCTCCCTCCCTCCCTCCACCACAATTCCCTCCCCCCCGTCCCCTCCCCTCCCCCAGGACACAGGCAGAATGCGCGCAGTTGCTGGACGTGGAAGACATGGTCCGGATGAGGGAACCGGATTGGAAGTGCGTTTACACGTACATCCAGGAGTTCTATCGCTGTCTGGTTCAGAAAGGCTTGGTCAAAACCAAAAAATCTTAAACCTCCCCTCCTTCAGCGCTACGGTGAGAAGCTTTCCTCTCCTGGGGTTGTTTCTTGGGGGTGGGGGTGGGTGGGGGGTTGTGTTTAGGGGATGTAAGGCCAGAGATGCACCTCCTGACCCCTCGGGTATCCTCAGCGCTCACGAGAAACACAGAGATTCCCAACTTTAAGGTGCTTTAGTTCTGGAAAGGAGGGGTGCTTCCTCAAAGACCCTCCTGGGGCAATTAGAAGGAGCATCTGTAGCTGGCCTTCCCAGGATTTTGGGAGAGGCAGGAGCCGGACAGGTGACGTAGGGTCCCTTCCCAGGATTTTGGGAGAGGCAGGAGCAGGACAGGTGATTAGGGTCCCTTCCCAGGATTTTGGGAGAGGCAGGAGCAGGACAGGTGACGTGGGGGTCCCTTCCCAGGATTTTGGGAGAGGCAGGAGCAGGACAGGTGATGTGGGGTCCCTTCCCAGGATTTTGGGAGAGGCAGAAGCAGGACAGGTGATGTGGGGTCCCTTCCCAGGATTTTGGGAGAGGCAGGAGCAGGACAGGTGACGGAGGGTCCCTCTTCTACCCGTGCCTTGCCCAGACCTTATAAGTTCTCGGAGAAGCTGGAAAAAATGACTCAGGCCGGCCTTGTTAATAGCATCTCCTGCCTTCTCCTGGGAAGCCGAGAAGCCCCACACCGAGTGAGCTAAACAATGGCTTTATAAGGGCAGCCTGGATCGCTTGGAGCTCGCCCAGGCCTTTCCCCACTGCCGGGGGCGGGGGGGGTGTCGTCCATCAACTCCTCTCTTGCCTACTTCCCCCCCTCCCCCCAGCTTCCCTGTGCATAACTGAGTTGGTGCCTGAATTGACCCTGTGGCCCACGTCCCTATTGGGGTTTGGGGGGCATCCAGGCTGAGAAAGCCCTTGGATGGGAGACCACCAGGAGATGTGACGGCTGTTCTTCTTTGGAAGAAAGCAACAAGGGATTCCCTTCTTGTACAGTTGTGGAAAAAACCACATTCCCATCTCGGATACTTTCTCTTTTATGCTGGGAAATTTGGTTTTCTCCATCCCAGCCCTGCTGATTTAAAACCACAGGTTACAAATTCACTGAAAGGGAAGTTTCTCCCCACCCCAAGAAATACTGTCAATACTCAAGTATAATCAATCAAGCTTTAAAAAATAAATAACTGCGCTTTTCAAATTACTTCCAGAAGTACGAATAGCCCCCGTTTAGAATCCGCTATTGGGACAGGCAAGCACCGTGGTCAGTAAGCGGAACATCACATGACCCCAATGGGCTTATGGCCGCCTAGGTTGTTAAGTGAGTCAGTGCAGGTTGTTAAAGCGAGATGCCAGGGGACCCTGATGTGAGATTTCTGGAGCAGCTTCTAGCAGCTTCTCCATTTCACGGGACCACAAGAGACTGCTACAGTCATAAGTGTGAGGACTGGTTGCAAAGTTTGGGAGTGGTGGGGGGGGTGTTGCACCACTGTAACTTTAAATGGTCACTAAGCAAAGCTGTTGGTAAGTGAGAACTCCCTGTAATTGTTTGGTGGGCACCCTGAGGATTCTCTTCGCCAACCTGGCGCCCTCCGAGCAGCAGAGCTGTAGATCTCGGGATTTACATCTTCTGGCTGGGGATTATGGGTTTCATTCCACCAATCCTTCATTTTGCCTTTTGCCCTTGGCTGGTTTCCCCCACCCCCCTCCGAAGGCTAAATCTTAAGGATTTGATGGCCACAAAACTACGACATTAGTTCACCGGTCGGCCTCACTGAGGACTAGAAGCCTGACCATTTTGCAAGTGGCGTTTTGCTCCAGGGAAGGATGGTTAGCTGTGTTTTATCAGAATGCCCTGGGGCCCTGCTCTGCAGTACAACGTTCTCTGCGGGTAGAAAAGTTGACGTCCCTATTCAAACTTTGCTGCTGAATTTGTATGCAGGTGGCCCTCAATTTATGACCAACAGCCCGATGTGGATGTCGTTAAGTGAGACGAATTATTTAAAATAATGTAAACATGACTTTTAATTTTCGCCATCCCCATTTCATCCTGACCCTCCTTTCTTGCACGATTCTATTCTACAAGGTAACAGTAACAGAGTTGGAAGGGACCGTTTCGTCGATATTAATGTAACTTCCATCCCGCGGCGAGTTGTCTTAGACCAGGGGGGTCAAACTCAAGGCCCATGGGGTACTTAGATCTGGCCCGCGGGGCCGCCCTGGAAACAGCAAAGGACCAGCCTGCGGTGCCTCTGCCAACCAAAATGGGCTCCTTAACTCCGTTTTCAGCTGCGACGGCCTCCTGCAACCCTCTGCAAGCTGGCAGAGGGTTGCAGGAGGCCGTCGCAGCCGAAAACGGAGCTCGGGAACCCATTTTGGCTGGTAGGGTGCTCAGGCCACCTCAGGCCTCAGGTCACTCGTGCCCCCAACACGAGTGGCGTCGATCTGGCCACGCCCACCCCGGCCACGGCCACCCCGGCCCCCTGCGGCCAAACACAACCCTGATGCGGCCCTCAATGAAATCGAGTTTGACAACTCTGTCCTAGACCGAGCTGGATCCCGGCTTCTGGCCCCAATCGCAGCTTAGTGCGGGGGGGGGACAGTTTGGGCTCTTCGTCCTGCCCCGTCCCCGAATCGAACCTGTGTCCCTTGACTTTTGCAGGATGCTGGTGGATTGCGTCCCGCTGGTGGACGTGGAAGACATGATGATCATGGGGAAACGTCCGGATGCGAAATGCGTCTTCACCTACGTCCAGTCCCTCTACAACCACCTGCGGCGTCACGAGCTTCAGCGGCGTCAGGCGCACCTGTAGCCTTCTCCTCTTCCGAGAGACCCCACCCTTCAAACGGCTGGACGGGCAGTCGAGGAGGGGTGGGCAGCTTCCCCCACTCTTCCCCACTCCTCACCTCCTCCTCTTCTGGGTGGGGGGAGGCTTGAGTAGCACCTGTGCCCCCTCACCGCAGGCCAGCCGTTGGCAATTTGGACCACACCAAGGATCGGGTGGGGCCGCCCACCCCAGAAAAATGGGACCAGGATGGTTTGGCGGCCAACTTTGCACTGCACCTGCTTTTTATACCAAGGTTGTTTTGATTGTGGCTTGTAAGTTATTCTGTTTTTTTTAAAAAAAAAGAAGAAGAAGCCCATAGCCCCCACCCACCCACGCTCAGTCCTGACGGTACAAGCGACCCTGGGCCTTGCAAGAGATCTACTGGAGATCAGCTTAACAGTTCACGTGTTGTGTGACCCCCCCACGTTGTGGAAACACAGGCTAGTTCATTTGATTGCAGCAGCTTTTCCCCTCCTCCCCTCGTTCCTAGGGACCCACCCCACCCCGCTGAAGGAAAGCCAATCTGGGGGCCGCGTGTAGAAACCCCTCTTAGGGGGGGAACTTTCACATCCGCCTCGGGTTCGCCACCAGCATAGCCCAGCCTGATCACGGAGAGCCGTGTGTTTTCACTTTTTTTTTTTTTCCCGCCGGTTTGTCACGGGGAGAAAGCCGGGCCTTGGGCGGGGAGGGGGGGGGCCGGGGGGGGGGGACGTGGGAAGGGAAAGAGGGCAGGTTGTGCTCCTGACCCCACCCATCCCAAATTAGCTCGCTTTGGTCTTTGGGGAGGCAGCCTCTTGCGCTCGGCTGCCCCGGCCGTGGAACCGCGCACTTTCCTCGGTTCGCAAGAAAATATTAGAGGAGGGGTGGCTTTTTAAAAAAAAACAAAAAAACGAGCCCTGCCATGGGATGGGGAGGGGGGCTGTGCCAGCTCAGAGGGGCTCTGAGACGATAGATGTTGCTGAGATGTTCCTTCGGCCTCTTGCTAAAAGGTTGCTGAGGGTGAGGGGGGGCATATCTCAACTCCATGACCAAAGGAGGACTCAGATGGGGAGTTTTATTCCCGTGAGTTCCCGCCGGGGTGCCGTTCGTCTGGTACCCCACCCTACCCCGAACTCCCTTGCCCGCTTCAAGTGACTCCGAAGTGGGGCAAACCAGTCCTTGGGGTGGAAACGGGACCGTGGACTGTGCACCTACGCGCCGCCGGCCTCCCTCTGGGATTGTAACCCTTCTTCGCGCCAGCACAAGAATGTATCGGCATCACCAAGACAATAAAGCGTTTGGAATTGTTGTCCCTGCCTCGTTCCTGCCTTCGCCTCGCCCGCACGCCTCCCCTCCCAAGCACTGATGAGGTTATCTAGTTGGGTAATAAAACATCAGCAAGAAAGTAAGCACGCTCAAAGAGCGCCAGGGACCCCGCACTCCTCTTTGAAATCCCAATTCTCTTCTAGCCCTGATGACGTTACCTACTTTGGGTCATGAAACGTCTTCAAGAAAACAACCACGCTCAGAGAGTACCAAGGACCCACAATCCTCCTCCACATAGCTAAATGTCTACGGAGATTCTCCAGTCATCCAGGTCACAGTTGTCCCAAAAGTGGTATGGTGGTTTTTTGTTTTTTTTTAGGGGACCACTGGACTTTCTGTTGTTTTTTTTCTTGGAAGACGTTTCGCTTCTCCTCCTCCTGTCTCAGAGCCAAAGAAGCTTCTCGGAGCAGAAGCGAAACGTCTTCCAAGAGAAAACAACCAGAAAGTCCAGTGGCCTCTTGAGAAAAAAAAAAACACACCGCACCTTTGGCGCACCCTCGCGATTGTGCTCATGACCAAGCGGTAAAGTTTGGCAGGGAATTTTCCCCCGTGGAAAGTCTGCCAAAAAACCCAACAACACACGAGAGGCAGAAGCTTCTGCTGGTGGACGAAGGGCAACTTTATTGTTACTATCCTAAACCAGTCGGGATCCGCCGACGTGCTCCCCTCAACCAGGCTGCGCACCCCCAGCCTGGTAGGACGTGTCCATCCACCTTCGGCAGCAACAGCTTTCTGCAGAAGGCTTCATCCGGTCCTACACAGGTGAGGCACAGCTGGAGGGGGGGGAGTGCTGGCCACGCGGGTGGCACCTTGCCTGGTGCAAGAATGCCAGTCTTGAGAAGGAAGGGCAGAATCGCTCGAGGCTTCGTCTGGTCAATCTTGGTAAAGAGAACTGCGTTCTCTCTCTGTTACAGGCTGTCCTTGACTTAACGACCGTTCGTTTCGGTGGCGCTGGAAAAAAAAAACCCGACTTGTGTAATCATCCCAGCGCCATGATTTATGGTTGCTTGCCGCTTGACAAGAGTCCGGCGTCCCTCAAGTTCGTACGGTTTCTCCATTCGCAACCTTCCCACGGTTTTTCCAAGTCTCCGCTGCGGTCGTAAGTCGAGGACCGTCTGTAGCAGGTCTGGGATGGCGTTGGTGTGTGGCTGTCTTTTTATTTTGCACGTTTCTCTTCCTGATGGGAGCACTTTCTTCCCCTTAATTGGCAGCCTTTTGCATCTTTGAATATTAATCTCTCTGGAAGCACAATTCAACGGTGAGCGAACCTCAAAAGATCTTAAGCAGATTATCTAAATATTTTGAATGCCCCGAAACTTCCCCTTCTTCCCAAGAGACACCCCTCAACAAACACCAACAGAGCACACCGAATTCTATAGGTCTGAGCCCCCTGCCCCCTTTTTCTCCTTCCGGTGTCTTCTCATGGCTTCCACATCCGGTGGCAGCGAATTGGCAGGTGCCATCTGGAAGGCGTCGGGAACAGGAGAATCTGGTGTTTCTTTCCGGTAGAACCCCAATTCTTGTATCAGTTGATTTATCTCGTCCCGGGTCATCTCACTCAATGGGATTCTCTGTAAGTTAAAGGTAAATGATAGGGACTAGCATCCTCTGGCCGCAACTACAGCAAGACAGCTGGATGTTAACCCGACTTCATCCCTGGAAGCTTTCCAGAAGAGACTGGGCTGCCATCTTCTCAGAAATTAGTAGCCCGACGGCGGCCAGCAGAGCTGGCAGCAGAGTTGGACAGTGAGGAGGTTGGGGAGAAACTTGGGCCAGTCCTGGGGGCTGCGGAAAGCTCGGATGAGGGCTCTGCATCGGAGGCAGAGAGGGGGCCACGGCCATCTAATAGTTATGTGCAGCCTCCAGAGTCTGACAACAGCAAGGCAGAAGAACAGCGTGAGCCTGTCCCCAGCGTGCGTATGCGCAGAACTGCCAGGAGACAGGAACAATTAAGAAAACAGGGTCGACTTGGGAGTAAGGCTTGGAGATGATTGGCCCCTCCCGTCATGATTGGCCCCTCGAACAGGACGTGAGCTTTTGCAGGAAGCAATTCATTCATCTGGTCGGTAAAAGCTCTGGAAAAGCTCTGTTTGACTCTGTGCTAAGTTTGGCCTTGCCCTGCGTGTGGCAGTTAGTTCTCTGGCAGCATTCCAAGGGAGATAAGGTGGGTGTTTATAAACATTCCCCTGAAAGACTGTTTGAGAAGCCTGCCGGATTGGGAATGATAATAATTCACAGCCGTTTGAATAAAAGGTTTTACCGGGACTAAGTTTGTGCTGTTTACTTTCTCAGGTCAGAACATAAGGTCTGCTTGGGTGGGGGGTTAGACTAGATGACCTACAAGACCCCCTTCCGACCCTGTGAAACCTCGGAGTTAAATCTATGCCGATCTGTAACGTAGAAGCTACATAAACAGCTGATGGCCGCAGGGCACAAACCTTGTCAAGCTAATCGTCGGACTGTTCAAAGCCTCGTGACTGATAATAGAAGAAAGGCAAAAGATGACAAAATAATTCCCTCTCACCTGAAGCTCTTCAAACTGAATGTTGAGCAGGATGAGTTCGGGGTCCGCTCCAGCCAGGTATTTCAGGTCCATGTTGTGGCTAAGGTGGTGCGTTAAGGAGCCGTATCGGCTGCTGGAGGGGGACACTCCGCCATGCGCGTGTCGTGATTTGGTTCCCCACATGTACTGGAATTTGGGATCTCCGTGGCTTCTGTTTTTGCACAAACTGGACCCATCAAGGGGTGAAATCTACTTACCTTCCTTACTGGTTTGGAATCACATGCTCTGCGCATCCGTACACCTTCTGCGCATGTGCAAAACCTGTGCTTGCGCAGAAGATAAACATTACTTCCCGGTTAAAACCAGGAAGTAATGACACCCAGGCAGCGATCGCTACTGAATCGCCAAATCACAGGGAAAAATTGCTACCGGATCGGGCGATCCAGATTGATCCGGGAGCATTTCACCCCTGGTGCCCCACCCCCCACATGGGCTCCGTCTACAACAGGGGATATGGCGAGTTGACTGTGGTGAGTTGGCCATGGCAACTTGGCCATGGCAACTTGGCCACAGCAAGTTGACCATGGCAAATTGGACATGGCAAGTTGGCCACAGCGAGTTGACCATGGCAAATTGGACATGGTGAGTTGGCCATAGCAAGTTGACCATGGCAAATTGGACATGGCAAGTTGGCCACAGCGAGTTGACCATGGCAAATTGGACATGGCAAGTTGGCCACAGCGAGTTGACCATGGCAAATTGGACATGGTGAGTTGGCCATAGCAAGTTGACCATGGCAAATTGGACATGGTGAGTTGGCCACAGCGAGTTGGCCACAGCGAGTTGACCATGGCAAATTGGACATGGTGAGTTGGCCATAGCAAGTTGACCATGGCAAATTGGACATGATGAGTTGGCCACAGTGAGTTGGCCACAGCGAGTTGACCATGGCAAGTTGGCTGTGGCAACTTATCCTATTCCGTTCAAGGAGGGACTCTGGCTTGAGACTCAGCAACCCTCAAATCGGGAAGGACGGCAGAGTCCAGGTAGCGGATGAACCCAACAGAAGGTGAGCCTGGATGAAACCTCAGCAAAGGATACTACAAAGGCAGGTCTTCGTCGATAAAGGCCTTCACCTAGAAGAAAGGAAGAATAGGCCGTTAGAGGAGACAGGTTGGTCTCTGGAGGCTCTGCTGTGGGTGTGGATGGAGAAACAGGAGGGAGAAAAGCTCGGCTTCTACTCCCAGCGCCCAGAAAGGAAACTTAGGAGCCTCGTTGGGAACTGACACTCTGGAAATCCCATGCAGGCAGTTTTGAGATTTGTCCTACTGGAGAATCACTTAAATCTGAGCCAGCCTTGTGCTGCAGCTGCCAAAAAGGCCAATGCAATAACCCTAGGCTGCATAAACAGAGGATAGAAACAAGATCACTCATTGCTTACCTCTGGCAGGCGGTTCAAACGTCATCCTCCGCAGCTCTGGGGTTGGGGAGGAGAGAGAGAGAGAGAGAAAGAGCACCATCAAAAACGTGTTTCTAACGCTACAGGAGAGGGACAGTCCCGTTCAACTGGTTGGGTTACTTTTCGTGCGACCAAGGTGGCCATCCCACCGAAATGAAGAGATTAGGCTGCCTCCTAGCTGTTCCCTTCCCACCAAAGGGGGTCCCTATTTTTCTACTTGCATTTTTTTACCTGCTTTCGAACTGCTAGGTTGGCAGAAGCTGGGACAAGGAATGGGAACTCACCCCGTTAAACGGCACTAGGGACTCGAACCGCTGAACTGCCGACCTTTCGATCGACAAGCTCAGCGTCTTAGCCACTGAGTCACCACGTTCCCTTGTGTGTTTAATATTTGTTACATTAATCAAACTTATATAATCCTATGACTATCATTAAGTGTTGTACCTTATGATTCTCGATGAACGTATCTCTTCTTTTATGTACACTGAGAGCGTATGCACCAAAGACAAATCCCTTCTGTGTCCAATCACACTTGGCCAATAAAAAATTATATTCTATTCTAGTATTAATATACTTGTTCGTTTTAAAATGGTTAATGCCAATGGTAATATTATTTAAACATACATAGTAATAGTTCTAACCGCTAAACATTCTATCTAATTATTGCTTTTTTTAAAAAAAAATTGATTTATATGCCGCCCTTCTCCGGAGCCTCAGGGCGGCTTACAATGCACTAAGCTTCTATTCTATTCTAATATATATATATATATATATATATATATGCTAATATTCCCCCTATTTCTTATTTCTATCCCTATTCTAGCTTCTAGTCAGGTCACTATTACTTATCCTAGAGTTAATCCACGTTTATATTAAAACGTTAATCCACGTTTATATTAAAACGTAGTCCTTCATTATTTGGTTTTCAGTATTTTAATACGCCAATTTTCTACTGCCAATCATCATATTATTTAAACATACATAACGATGCCATCTTTCAACCTCCAATCTTTCTCTCTTCAACAGTTTCATTTTCCATCATGACTCATAGCCAGCCTATTAACAGATGCTATTAGTGGGAAGACACAACTAGAAGAGAGAGAGTTGAGTCAAATTGTAAATAGAAATCAAGATCATTTAGATAAAGATGTAAGTTTTAAGATACAGATATTTAGAAGTAGAATTTGTGTAAAGAGGTTAAATAGGCTAGAGGTACCGATGCAGAAAAGTTGTTATTAGTATTGAAATTTTGATATGTTTGTACTGTGTATTTTAATCTTAGTATTGAAATTTTGATATGTTTGTTTTTGGGTGTTTATATTTTTTGTTTTTGTGTGTCTGTGTATTTTAATCTTTGGAAATTTGCAAAATCTCCATTCCCACCCCACTCTGGGGCCAGCCAGAGGTGGCATTTGCCAGTTCACAAAATTTTCACTACTGGTTCTCCAGAACTGGCCAGAACTTGCTGGATTTCATCCCTGGGGGTTCCCAATGTGGACCGGGCCACGGCATGCCAGAAACTCTGTGGACCGGGCCACAGCATAAACAGGACGACGCAAACAAGCGAAGCCCCATCCCTGGAGACACAGGTAGCCCACGAAACCACGTCCCTTCCGGTCTGCAGAAAGACCTCTCTCCACGGAAGCGGTACCTTGGTGCCCCAAAGGTTGGGTGGGGCCACTGCCTTAGCCCACAGCGAGCCTTGCAACCATTTAACCCGGCCTGAAACAATGCAGCCACGAGATCAACAACACTTCAATAACAACAGCAATATAATTGCTGCAATTTCCAGAAGTCCCTTGAGGAAATTATGCAATTGGCATGTAATTGATTTATTGTGTTTTTGTTCAAGGCTCAAGCCAGGAGGGAAAGTTGACTCAGAGATAGCCTGCCTCCAAACGCAGAGCCCCCTCCCCCTTGTGTGTGTGTGTGTGAGAGAGAGAGAGAGAGGGGGGGTTTTTCACCCAACAGCTCCCTCCACCCATTTCCTCCACCACAACACCCCCATCTGGTAAGTGGGCCACGTCAGCCTGGGAGTTTCTAAGGCTTGAGTAGGGGACTGGAGCCTGCACCACAATACCCATGGTCCTCGAACCTACGACCGCCATTGAGCCCAAAATTTCCATTGTTAAGTGAGACATCCCATTGTTAAGTGAGTTTTGCCCCCCATTTTACAACCTTTCTCACCGAAGTTGTTCAGCGAATCACTACCTTTGTTAAGCGAGTAACACAATTTGTTAAGTGAACCCAGCTTCCCCCTTGACTTCGCTTGTCGGAAGGTCGCAAAAAGGGGACCGCGTGACCTTGGGACGCCACAACCGTCATCAATACGAGTCAGTTGCCAAGCCTCGGGCCTATGTCACTTTTTTCACTGCCGTCGTAACTTTCGAACGGTCACTAAACGAACGTTGCACCGTTCCTTTAGCAACCTGTACCGCTCGAGCCCTGTGTTTTGCTACGTAACAGACTTTTAAAGAGGCCAGTCAGAGATCTAGAAGCGCCATTCAAACCTGCTGAAGTTGGTTGAGGTTAACTTTGTTTCGCCTGATGCAATGAACTTGGCTTGTTTGATCCCTTTAAGGGGCTGAAAATGGGTTAAGTTAGAAAGAAACCACGTCAGCTGCCTGGGCAATGCAGATGTTTTCCCTTACAACCTTTCCACTCCGGACTTCTCCAACCCGGTGCCCCTCTCCAAAGGCTTTGAGCCCCATAACTGCCCTCACTGCTATTTGGGGTAACTGGCGTGAAAACCCCTCCGCATCTGTGGGGGGGGGGCACCAGCTTGGGGAAGGCTCCTGTTCAGCAGTTGGGTACCAGGAAGGCTGGTGCCCTTCTCTTGGCACCCTACGAGTAGTCCTTACAACTGAGTTTAGCGAAGTCACAACAGCTCTTTTAAAAAAGGGACCTGCGGCCATTTGTCACACTTTATGACGGTCGCAGCATCCCCAGGGTCGCGCGACAGGGACATTCGGGGATGCTTGATCCCCCCCACCCTGACTCGCATTTATGACGATGGCAGTGCCCCCCCCCCCCCCCCCGCAAACCCCTTTTTGCAACTTCCCGACAAGCAAAGTCAATAACCTTCTTATTCCAGCATGCCGGGCTGGCTTCAAATTTTAATGGGTTATTTTATGGGGAAAGGGTTTTTAAAATGTAGGGAAGCCAAACTGATTTAATTCTGTTGTAATTCTTTTTAATTTTTATACGGTATGTGTTTTAAATTTTGGCTGTTCGCTGCCCTGAGTCCTTCGGGAGAAGGGCGGTATACAAATTTAAATAGTAAGTAAGTAAGTAAGTAAGTAATAAATAAATAAATAAATAAATAAATGGAGGGGGGAAAGAAAGCTGGCTGGGGCTCCTCGTTTAATAACTGCAAGACAAAGGGACAAAACTCACTTCACCCATGCCTCGTTCAACAAGTGGGATTCTGTGGTGGCCATAAGTCGAGGACTACCTGGAGAGAGAGAGACACAGAGAGAGAGAGAGACAGAGACAGAGACAGAGACAGACAGAGAGAGAGAGAGAGACAGAGTTAGAGAGAGAGAGACAGAGAGAGAGAGAGAGACAGAGACACACAGAGAGACAGAGAGACAGAGACAGAGAGACAGAGTTAGAGAGAGAGAGACAGAGAGAGAAAGACAGAGACAGAGACACACAGAGAGAGAGTTAGAGAGACAGAGAGACAGAGTTAGAGAGAGAGACAGAGAGAGAGACACAGAGAGACAGAGTTAGAGAGACACACAGAGAGAGAGACAGAGAGTTAGAGAGAGAGACAGAGAGAGAGACAGAGAGTTAGAGAGAGAGACAGAGAGACAGAGACAGAGAGAGACACAGAGAGACAGTTAGAGAGAGAGACAGAGAGAGAGAGACAGAGACACAGAGAGAGACAGAGACAGAGAGAGACAGAGAGACAGAGTTAGAGACACACAGAGAGAGAGACAGAGAGTTAGAGAGAGAGACAGAGAGAGAGACAGAGAGTTAGAGAGAGCAGAGAGGCAGAGACAGAGACAGAGAGAGAGACACAGAGAGACAGTTAGAGAGAGAGAGACAGAGAGACAGAGACACAGACACAGAGAGAGAGAGTTAGAGAGAGAGACAGAGAGACAGAGTTAGAGAGACAGAGACAGAGACAGAGACAAAGAGAGACAGAGAGAGACAGAGAGAGAAAGAGACAGAGATACAGAGAGAGAGAGAAAGAGAGGAGAGAGAGAGAAAAAGACAGAAACAGAGAGACAAAGAGAGACAGAGAGAGAAAGAGACAGAGAGAGACAGAGAGAGAGACACAGTCCAGCAGGCGCAGCAACCTCGGCAGAAGCCCGCTGGAGACGCGCATCCCCGGCCAGGAGGACCCCTGCCCGCATCGAGAGACCCCCGCTTACCTCCACCTTCCCGCGGGCCAACCACTGCAAGCGGCTCCGGTCGATTTGCACGGCGCGCAGCGGCGCCACGGCCGAGAGGAGCCCCAGCAGCAGCGGCAGAAACAGCAGCGGCGCCATCCAGATGTGGAGCTGAGCTGAGCCGAGCCGAGCCGAGCCGGGCGCGCTTTGCTTTTTACGGAGCCGCCTTCGCTGCAGCGGCTGCCACGTCAAGCCAGGCGGGGCTCCGAAGCGGATTCCACGCCCCGGGTGGGTCCCAGGCGGGTCCCTCGGCGCCCCTGCCGCGCCTCCTCCCCGCCCCCCCTTTCCTCCTACCCTCCCGGCTCTCCTTACTGGGGTCTTCGGACTACAACCCCCATCGCTCCCAGGCAAGGGCTGGGCTCCCATGTAGTTGGAAGCTAGCAAGGGGGAGGTGGGGGCTTCAGTTCTCTCCCCCCCCCCCCAGGCCGGGGGGGCCTGTTTCCCCCCCCCCAAAAAAACTTCTCGAGTTAGGACCCCCAATGCATCCCCGAATTTATGTTGCTGAGTGAGACATTGGTGGAGTGAGTTTTGCCCCATTTTACGACTTTTCTGGCCACGGTTGGGAAGCCAATGGGTGCCCTTGTTCCATGAGTGACACGGTTGTTAAGTGAGCCGAAGGGACCTTGGAGGTCTTCTAATCCAACGCCCTGTTCAAGCAGGAGATGTCATACAAATGGAGGCCCAATCTCGTCATGTAAAGCTCCGGTTAAGGAGCACCCACAACTTCGGAGGGCAAGGCCATCCCACCGATTGTTCTGTCAGGAAATTTCCCTTCACTGCCAGGAAATTTCTCGTTAACATTATTTTAATTGTCATTCACATTTCATTCTGTCCCTCCTTTGGCAGTTGCCCATGGTGAGATGCCCATGGCAAGTTGGCCATGACGATTTGTCCATGGCGAATTGGCTGTGATGAGTTGGCCATTATGAGTTGGCCATGATGAGTTGGCCATGGCGAGTTGGCTGTGATTAATTGGCCATGGTGATTTGTCCATGGTGAGTTGGCCGTGATCAGTTGGCCATGATGATTTGGTCATGATTATTTGTCCATGGCGAATTGGCCATGATGAGTTGGCCATGGCAAATTGGCCATGATGAGTTGGCCATGGTGAGTTGGCCGTGATCAGTTGGCCATGATGATTTGGTCATGATTATTTGTCCATGGCAAATTGGCCATGATGAGCTGGCCATGGTGAGTTGGCCATGGCGAGTTGGCCATGATGAGTTGGCCATGATGATTTGGCCATGGCGAGTTGGCCATGGTGAGTTGGCCATGGCAAGTTGTCCTGTGCAAGTTAGCTATGGCAAATTCCCGGGCTCTGCCCAGCTTCCTCCCTTGCCTTGCCAAGGCATCCTGGCTGCCATCTCTGCCTCCCCATGGCCAGATGGCCCAAAGTTGAGGAGGCATCGCCTTTCTCTGTCCCCATCCTCCCTGCATGAGACTGAGAGCGAAACTTCTAAGAATATCGCTGTTAATAATAGCCACGTCAGAACTCCTGCCTCGGCAGCAAAGCTCCGTGAGTCATGGCGAGTGTGAGAAATCGGAAAGCAGGTGGGGAGGGTTGTGAATCAGAGAAAAATATACATTCGTGGGCTGGCAGCAACATCTCCGGGGCATTCGCCGGCTTCTGAGCCGTGATTCACTCCAACGCGGGGCAAACGGGCACCTGAGCTGAGAATAAAAGGAAAAGACGCGGACAGCCCCCTCCCCCTTGGCAACTCTTGCACCACAAAGCAAAACTCCTTAAAGGTTGATGCAATTTTCCAATATCTCAGGGGCTGCCCCAAAGAAGAGGGAGTCAAGCTATTCTCCAAAGCACCTGAGGGCAGAACAAGAAGCAATGGGTGGAAACTCCTCAAGGAGAGAAGCAACCTAGAACTAAGGAGGAATTTCCTGACAGTGAGAACAATTAATCAGTGGAACAGCTTGCCACCAGAAGTTGTGGGTGCTCCATCAATCATTTTCAAGAAGAGATTGGACAACTATTTTTCTACAACGGTGTGCTCGAGCAGGGTGATGGACTAGAGGACCTCCAAGGTCCCTTCCACCTCTATTATTCTGAATTAAAGACTCCACTGAATCAAGCTAGATTCCTGAAGGCTTCCGGGATTTTTCCGTTGATCTTTTTTTGGCCACTGTACAGAAGTGGTTTGTCTCTCTATCGGCTCCTGGGATTTGGGGGACTTTTCAATCCAGCCAAACTCTGGGATGTCCTACTGGCCTCCCATCCAAATGCTAACCGGGGCTGGTCCTGCTTAACGGAGGGCTGTATTTGTTACGCTGCTGCTTTCAAACTTCCTTTTTGGCCCAATTGTACGCCAAACCTGTAAATCCAGATTTAGAATGTTTTCTCCACTCCGCGTCGACAAAAGATCTCTTGATTCGATTGCCTATTCTACCCTGTTAAGATTTCTAATCCGATTAATTACCCGTGTGCATATTATCATTCAATTTTTTTTTTAAAAAAAAAGACACAGTACAGTGTCTATGAAATTTGGCAGCACAAAACCATTGAATGTTGGAAAATCATTTGCTCTAAGTCTGATTTTCTTTAAGGTTTTGCATTTGCCAAGGCAATGAAAGAGACGGTGCCACATTTTGGAAAATCTCCCTTTGATACAATTTATTTAAAAAAAAAAAAAAAAAACTTCACACACATGCAGTGCCTGACAATAACAAGCTGCGTGTTCCTTGCTCGGTGTTTTTGCTTTAACCTGCAGAGGATTGGTGTTATATTCTAGCACGAATTATTCTCTTCGTGCAACAATTTTTAAGATCCATTCAACCTGAATTGTTTCTGCCATCTGGTTGTAATTTGATGATAAACCACTAGGGGGCAGAGCTTCCAAATGGATGTCAGATTTGTCATAGCTCTGAAGAGTTCTGTGTCTTATTATTGTTTTTTTTTTTTTTTTTTCAAATTTTGCTGAAAGTTGGATTTCATCCAAAATCCTGGGTTTGTGCACCTGCTCCCAAGAAAAAATAAAATAAAATAAAGAACAGAAGAATGAGACTTATACTTCCTGGAGCTGGTGTGTTGCAACTCTTAAAACAAAACCACAGATACAGTAGTGGCCAAAATTGTGGAAACCTTTTGGGGGAAAAAATGTATTTTCTAAAACTAGCTAATAACACCACTTTTTTGGGGGGAGTAGTACCATAAAATTATATATCAATAGAAAGATAATTTAATCGAGAATGTAATGCCATCACTTTTAGGAAGGATTTGCTATTAGAATAGCAGTTACAGGATAAAGAAGGAAAGTGAAACACGTAGAAAAAACGAGATATGCAAAAATTTATCACCACGTCAAGTTAATACTTAGTTGGGTGTCATACTTTAGCATGAATTATGGCTTTACAATGTCTTCCCATGGAGTGAACCAAGTCTTTGAGTTCTGTGGCTGTTATCACGTGAAACCAAGATTGAATGATGGCTTCTATGAACTGGGTTTTATTGATGGGTCGCTTCTAACTAACAAGTTTCTTTAGTTGGCTCCATAGATTTTCAATTGGGTGAAGATCTGGGCTATTCCCAGGCCATTCCAGCAGTGGAATAGGATTATCTCGAAACTCCCCCAAAAAAGTGGTATTTATTAGCCATCCAACCTCAAAAATACACTTTTCCCAAAAGGTTTTCACAATTTTGGCCACCACTGTATTTTATAGCAAATATAAGTGACATAAGTTTTCAACTTTCTTACATTTCCTCCCAAGGACTTTTTTTCCTGGTTTCTTAAATATTGATTTTTTTTTTCCAAATTATTTTTGGCATTTCAAGACTTAGCTCATTCAAAGCCTTAGCATTCCTGATTTGTCCATGCAGATCTCAGCTATCTGTTGATATTCTGTTTGGTCCATGCCCCTTTCCCCATTTTTAAACTGTTTATAATGTTAAGATTGTGCTTTTATAATCTCATTTTTTTTTTCCCGGATTGCATAGGATCGTTCAATCTTGTTCAATCTCTGATCTCCACCCCTTCACACGTGCCCAAATAGCAGTCAAAAATAAAGTTAAAAGGTTTATAAAGGCAAATTAAAACAATGGCAAAAAAAAAGCACATTGAAATCTCGTTGTCTGCCAGAGCGGCCTAAAAGCCAGACCAGGAAGGCAAAAACAGCAGAAAAGCAATTTACAGAGAGACGGGAAAACAGTTCAGATCAAACCCTTGGGAAAACCGAACCAGCCACAAAAGTGATGCGCATAAGTCTCCATTTCACTCATCGCCCATTATAAATCAGACTAGAGCACCATTTTATGGATGCAAACGGTTGGAAATGCTTCAGAAACAGTCTTCTAAAAATATCTCTCTTTTTTTCCTCTGTATTACCCCATTCAATATACCTGTTTCATAAGGGGGAAAAGATATAAAGAGCTTTGAATTTATTAAATGATGATGAGATTACAAGCCATCATGTTGTCGTTGATGCTTAATGACCACAAAGATAAAATGCTCCGTGATGCTCAGTCCCCAGTGTGGTCCTTCATATCTTGGTCTGGTATGGATTCTTCTCTTGCTTCAGCAGGGGGCTGGATTAGAAGACCTCCAAGATCCCTTCCCGCTCATAGGATTCCATTCTATCTTCCAACTGAGCCCTATTTGCACCTAATCATCTTTGTGTGAAGTTTTTGGTGATTTTATTTGTGGACGTGGGTGCAGACTATACAACGCCCAGCTCCTGTGTTTTGTGGACTGAGGATACCGAGCAAAGCCAAAGATCAAGAATCGTGTCGGTCACTGTGTGGAATTTGCTCTAATGAACTGCCCCTGGAAATGCGTAAGATCTCCGACCTCCGGGTATTTTCGTTGTGCACTCAAGACTCTGTTGTTCCGCCAGGCTGGGCTATCAACATAACAATTTTAAATTGGGTTTTAAATTCCTGGGGTTTAAAATTGAGCCGAATTCATTTAATAATTTTAAACTATTTTAACTGATGTTGTCTTGTGTTTTTAATAGGCTGTACACCGCCCTGAGTCCTTCGGGAGAAGGGCGGTATAGAAATAAAATCCTATTCTATTCTATTCTATTCTATTCTATTCTATTCTATTCTATTCTAATACCACTCTGTAAAGCTTTAGTAAGGCCACACCTAGAGTCCTGCATCCAGTTTTGCTCAGCACACTATAAAAAAAGATGTGGAGACTCTAGAAAAAGGGCAGAGAAGAGCAAT